ACCTAGCTATATGGTATATAGCCTATAACATCAACAGCTTTAATAACTCATATTGTTGATTCTGTAATTTGAGAAGAAGGTTACTTGAAACTAGGAGGTGATCTCTTAATCAGACAAATGCGAGCGAGAGCACATGTCCCCAAAACTGCAAAGCTTTCTGGAATCCCAGAGGCACATCTTGAGTATAATCCAGAAGCAGGATGACAATGGCACAGAGAGGCATGGAGGGATGGCGTTGAGGAAGTATCAGCACCATCCAGAGAAGCAGGTTTTGTATGAACAGGAAGGTAACAGCTTTTGGGTGAATCTGTGGCTGAACAGCTGCCCAAACCTACACCCCCCCCCCCCCCCCTTCCCCCAACAGAGCCAACCAACCAACCCACTGGAAAATCCAACAGTATGAAGAATTGTCAGTATACTGGGACAAGGGTAGATCAAATAAAGCAAAACTCCTCATACTTTGCATTCACGGTAGGGCATTCAGTCAGGGAGCTGTTTTCCCAGTTCATGAATTAAGATGCCGATGTCTGGTTTTTCCACTAGGTTAGTTTGCCATGGTTTAGACATGTTCTCATCAATCATCTCTTCTATGTACTTCCCTGGAACAATGATCTTGGATCCTCTTTTGTCTGCTGACTGATGATGATGTTCAGGCAGAGGAGTGCTGTTAACTTGTTAACACTGCAGATTTAAGACTGATTTCATATCCTAGAATTCACTCTCTGGCCACACAAAACTTTCTGGATTCATCTTCATAGTTAAGCAGAAAAGAGGCCTAGGAGAGTTTCACAGGCAGCTGTGGTACTTCCTACAGGAGACAAAACCTGTTTCTAGTAGAACAATCTCCCCAGTTACTTTTTTCTTAGAAGGCTGGGAGAGCTCTTCAGGAAACGTCATAAACTGGAAGTGCTGATAATCACTGCAGTGACATCTGTAGATAGTCCTGAGAAGCTGTTGTTAGCATGGAACCAAGCTAGTAACTGCAGACACCTGTCAAAACAGTGATTACATATCAAGAATGACACCAGATGAAAAAGGAGATGTTTGAAATTTCCTTGGAGTGTTAGAGTCCTGAGACTTTCAGGGCCAGTTGGAGAAGACTCATGGTACATCAATGCATAATACTTAGTGCAAGTCTTTGGGTTCACAGGTGGGCAGTTTTTTCCCTTGTTAATGAAGCATTTTTTTTACTTGACAAGCGGAAAACATTGCCACGTGTGAAAAGATTAAATAGGGATTTTGAGTGGACTCTCTCTGTGACTGAGACTTTCAGAGATCCTGGCTGTGGGCCAGCTCTCAAGAGGAATATTCTTAATGTTTGTTTTTTTCCTATGACTGAGATTGGATCCTTAGATAATTCTGACAATGCCACAACAAATTGTTTTATGAAGAGAACGTATTCATATTTCCTATGTCTCCAGAGTCACTGGAGCACGAGCCTGTGATAGTCATTATGTGAACAAGATGTTTGTAATGTTGATACTGCCTTTTCTTTCCAGTATGCTTGCAAGTGTTAGGTGTAACACATGGAGTTGCTTCTACTTTATTAGCATGGGTAAATCTCTATTTTTCTTTAAAATTTCTAATCTCACGTAGCTGGGACTCTTCAAGCAAAGACAAATAAAGACCCGATGGAATCAATTTCCTAAGCTTAGATTAGATAACATACAATAGTACCTACGTATTTTAAAATAACACTATTGCAGAATGACAGATTTGTCCCCTGGTTGGCACGTGTTATTGAAAGAGAACATGAGGTGCTTAATATGGTTGGTAGAGATGCTGGTCCTTTTGCTGGTGGAAGCAGTGCAGCTCTGCTGGAGTTTGAGCTGTGTTCTCCGGCAGCACCCGAGAGCTTCTGCACAATCACTGTGCCTCATGGATCTGGAAAGGATTTTCTAACACTGTTGTTGCTGCTGTGATCCTAGTTCTGGTCTTTTATTATTAGCTTTCCTGTATTCATGTTCTTACTCTTCTGTCTCCACTTCCATGTCGTCCTACAGGAAGAACATTAATTTTGCTACAAACATTTTTAATCATTTAAGCCTCTCTCAAGTGGTTGTGTAATGAGGATTTCAACAAGACCTTAACTTTCAGATAGCATCCTAAACTGATGACAGAGAAACAGCTGATAATGAGATGATTGTTCCAGTGTTTCATACAACAGTCAGAGGAAGTAAGTGAAGCCCACTCCTGTAAAGCTGAAAAAGTGATGGCCTCTTTGTATGTATCAGATAAATTTCCAGCTGTTTTGTAATCCCCTGGCCTGTTTCATCTGCCACATAAGGGACTGGAATGAAAATCAGGACGCATATGGGAGAATTTGCTGTCTCAGCAGAAGCAGCAGCCTAGTGCAGTAGAACCTCCTCCCTCATGTGGTCCAGTATGGTCTGAAGCCTGCTGGTAACATTCATCACCTGACCTGATGCATGCCCTTGTCACACAGCTGGAGAAGCCAATCTTGCACGTAGCAATTGTGAGAGGTCATCACTGAGATGTGGACAGTGTGCACAGGGAGCAGGATCTGTTCGTAAGGGTCCGTGAGGGAAGTTTTGGTCAAAGACTTTGTGTTGAAATGAAACATTTTTCTCTTTTTTCCCCTCCCTGGGCACCTAATGAGAGCACACAACCAGTCATTTATAGTTTGCCAAGAATTTCGGACATTCGGGAGGTTAGCTTAAGACTTGGGAAGGATTAATTGAGAATGAATGCAATTTTGTGAGGTGTTAGGTCCTGATTAAATGCTCTTTACTGTGTAGTCACATTTTATTACAACTTACATATGTTCGGAACACTGATAGAAAAGAAACCATGTCACCTATTTACAATCACTACACATTTACATTATATTATTTACAGATAATGAATTTAGTAATATATATGAGCAGAAAATATAGCAAATATCAATATGAAACTGTACAGGGCTTAATCTCATGTCCTTTACTGTGGTTGCACTTCACTCTAATAATAAATACAGTTCTATATTTACACATTTTCCTTTAAAAATCTATTAAATGAATGTTAACAATTTCAAGTTTAAAATATCTGATCAAAATATTTCAAACATGCTTATAAAAATAAGACACAAAGCCTTTAGGACTTTCTGCAAGCTAGAAAAGTTCTGATAAAAGAAGCTTTCTTTAACTAGCCTTTAGAATTATAACCTTATTTTGCTTCTCAAATCACTTTACAAACTTCTTAAATATAGCGAGCTGAAAGGAATTTCACTGACATTAAGCAGAGCAGCACAGATGGACCCCAGTTAAATTAAAGCTAAGTAAACATGGTAATAGGTATTGTGCAATGGTTGACTGATCCTCTGTTTAATCCAAAGTGGTTTCAGGCATCCTTCTGCAGCTGTATGCTGCACTGCTTCAAAACCCACAAGAGATAAAGGATTAAGATAAGTTCTCAGCTGACTTTGTCATACATAATTTTAGCATTGGTTCATGTTTTTTCCTGAAGGATGAACATGTCAGCCAAAGTCAACCGATGCCATCTGTAGCTGCAAAACTGAAAACATGCCAGTGTGAATGGACAAGAAAATCAAGGCATATCCATTGTTGCCAACAAATTCTTCATTGTGAAAAATCTGTCCTTTGAGTCCCAGCAAGTTTTATATACAGTAACAGATGAAAAACAGAGATCATCTGTAACTGATTACCATAATTACCGGGCTAGCCTAACCTTGGTAATGTTAAAAATTAGTCTAATTCACCTGGAGGTTGAGTGGCCATTAACTGCGCAGTGAGCACTGGGCTTTTAAATGTTACTCCTCAGGGAGCTATTTTTAACAACAAAAAAAAAAGATTAGATTTGTGCACTTGTATGTCTTAAATGATCAGCTCACTCAAGCAAAAGGTGCCAGCTCTGAGAAAAGGATACTGGAACATACCCTGATGGCTTGGCCAAGGTCAAAGACTGATATTCTAGGGAAGTGAAGGTGGCTCTGTGGTCTATTTTCACAGTAGACTTGGCAAAGGAAGGCCTGAAGTCTTTCATCTCTAACTGGGATGCTTCTAATGTGTAAACATACATGCCTTGATTCAGCAAAGTGTTAACAGATTTAGAGCCATAGAGTAACTCTTTATTAATCTAACCTAATCTTTTCCTGAACTAAAGCCATCAGAAGTCCCTGAATTCCAGTAGCTGATCCAATACCTTTTTTGGCAATATATCCAATTTGAATGTAGAGATTTTTGGTGACAGATGGTACTATTACCTGATGACCACCATTGTCAACAATGCGCACCTTTATGCTGCATATTCCTAGTGTCAACTTAAAGTTGATCCTACCAGATTCTTCGCTCTTGAATGAGCAGTCCTCTGCTCTCAAACTTCTGTTTCACAGAAGTAGCTACTTACAAAATGTGACCAAATCACTTCTTTCTTAAGCTGCTTTAAATTTATTATATTAATATCCTTTATTAGCTTAATAAGACTGCTCTTCCATTTAGATACCTTGCTGAATAAGGGCCATACAAGGTGTTGCAGAATGACTCTAAGAGCAGAACCATAGAGTTCTGGAGGACTGTGCAAGCAAGGCAGGGGGTGGCCCCCACAGGTAGCCAGAGACCGGACCTGGGAGGAGAATGTGGAGGAAGCTGTGGGGGCTAACCAATACTGTTATGCCAAGAAGGAGTGGCTGAATACCACTCCTATATATGTGTGAACTGTGTCACAAATAAAGTAGAAGTTGCTTATCACCCATATTAGGTTGGCCTGTCTGCTTCTCCTCGCCGCTTACAACAAGGATGCTTATAAAAACTATCATGGCACTTAAAAACTATTATTAAACCCAAATTACAATAGTAGGGAAGAGGGGAAGGGGAGAGAACCCAAGCTCATAAAACTGCCCCAGGTGATGCTTTGAGAAAACAGCTTACCAAGTTAACATGCTAATTTTGCTCTTGAACAACTGATGCCTTTCTGAGTAGTGCTACTTCAAAAGAGAGCAGCTGATACAACTGCGCACACTGCAGCAACTTTCAGTTTCTCTCTTCATCCCAGCATTTCGGAAGCAGGCTGAGAAGGCTCAAGTATTTGATTTTCAGCCTGCTGCAAGTTTTGTCACTGTCTGTTTTCTGATGTGTGTAACAGTAACTCAGAGGCACTCTCCAGCGTGTATACACACATCCATACCTACTTTTGGGATTAAAAATTTTGTAAACATAGGTATTTTCTGGAATGCCACTGAAACTAGTGACATGGAACAAATGCGACTGATGAAAGATTGCAGCTTTCTGTCATTTGATAAGATGATGGCATTAGTGAATTGCTGCTAGGCATATCATATGATATGCTGGCACTTGTGAAGGTTACCAGTGCTTGTGTTGAGTCACAAGATTGTTTTTCTATGTCTTCTGAATTCACAGAGATCAGACTAGCATGTTTTGATCTCCTCCATAACAAAGTTTGCTTCCGAAGGCTTCCCAAGTCCTCCTTAAAGTGTGGATTGAAAAGTATATAAAGGAGTGGGTTTAGACATGCAGGCAGTGGGACAATCACCAGCAGTATTGACTTAATCACTTCTGGGCTGATAAAAGTAAGGTTTAGTAAGGAGGAAAAAGATAAGAAGGCCACAGGGCAATAAAGAATGCAATTAGTAAAAAGTAACAAGGCTATATGTTTGACCATAGAGCAATCCCACATGTTGTCTAGTTCTCCCTTTTCTAAACTACAGTAGAGCTTTGTATAAGCAATAGTCATTACCAGAAAACAAAGGGAGTTCAACAATACCAGCGCTACCATGTAGCCCATAGCAGTGGGTTCTCCAAATGGTAACGGTAAACATAGTGGAGAAACCCCATACTCACTCCCAGTGAGGAGGGGTATCATTGCAATGATTAGTGCCAACATAAAGCAAAAGAAAATGGCAATTTTTATGCTAGCAATGGAAGATTTTGTTTCAAACTTTGTAGCGTGTTTTACAGAGAATGCACGTTCAAGTGCAGCTATGGTAAGGAGGAAAATGGAAGCCTCTGAAGCAAAAATGGAGAGAAGCCCAGTTATTTGGCAACCAGTTCCACTTTCCCACCGTGCTCCGTACTGAGCAAAGCTACCAAAAGTTGATGCATCCACACTAGCCAGAACTCCGCTGGCCAGACCCATCAAGGCATTTACAATAGCTATTAAACTGATCAACAGTTTTATGGAGGACATATACAATGGAGATCTGAAAACTGTAGCAGACACCAGTGCATTGCAAATAAAGGTCAAACCCACTATGGTCCACACTCCAATTCGGATCAGCCAGCTACCAAACAGATGGTCACATGGTTTGAAGGGACCTGAAATGACAAAACGAAAAAGATCATGGAAAACCCATGTGAAGCAAACATCAATTTTGCACTTTTTAAAGTGCAAAGATTTCACTGCTTCGTGCAGATTCTCAGCATAGCCAAGCAATGAGTTTCAGTCCAGAAGGGGACCTGTGAATTTGCTCTTCCTTTGCAGTAATTTGAGACCTTGATAACATACTGCTAAATGCATGTTGCATGTTGTGTTACATGAGCCTGTGTCCCTTAAGTCAAATAGTGTATGGGTTTCCTTTTGTGCCTAGCAGTACAACTGCAATGTCAATGTTCAGTCAGTAGTTTCAAGAAATGCTGTAAAGTTTGTCAGTGTGTGAAAAAAGCTGAAAAAGATACCCCTCACTAAACTAGGGCAGGTTGCTATTGAATCCTGGTGAAGTGCGGTGTAGTGGATATCAACAGATGCACTTTGGTTGTCTTATAACATGTTGTTACATGGATGATGAAAATTGAGATTGTCCTTTCATTTCAAAGTGCTGCCTTTTCAGAGGAGCTTCTAATGAGCTGTGGCTGAAGTCAGGTCATTATGATCGAAGCCTGGTGTATATTCTCATAAACTGAGGTTCATATGCTGTGCAGTTGAAGCTGAATGTTCTGCAGCCTGAGAAACATTATTTATCTTGGTACAAGCCAGTTATCTTCTCTCAAAGGAAGTCCTTTACAATGGTCTGTGCTTCTCCATGAAGACACAGTCCCTGCAGCTCAGATGCGCTCCATATGACTACAGCTGTTGCCATCAAGTAGACATAAGCATCTATTGTGTCAAGTTTTTCTAAGATACCATTTGAAAGATCAACATGGAAGCCAAGTTTTCTCTTGAGTCTGGTGATACCTTACCTTGAAGACAGCGACATTTTTGTGAAAGCAGTAATTACATTTAGGCCATAGGAGAGTACGTGATGGTCAAATGGTTCTAAATTCTTTGGCTCCCTGCCTTTCCTACTACATAACTTAAAAAAACCTATTATTATTTGCTGTTCCAAAAAGGAATCTTGGCTTGGAATATACGCTAAAGTCCTAGGTTGTCACTTGGGTATTTTTGTTTATGTTTCACAATGAAAGAATGGTTAGGGAAAATGCGGAATCAAGCAAGCAAACCTTATAACCACAGATCTTTAAGCTAGGAGCAACCTTCCAGGGAGACATGTTTCTTTCCTTGCCTTAAGGGAAAATTTCAGTGGAACTAGTGGCCTGTACGCTTGCAATTCAACCAGTGTATTTATTTTTCCTTTCTGCCACACTGAGAAGCCAGAGATGCACTATTCTATAAAGGAAATAACAGGAGTTATTTCCTTTGCAATGGACTGTGTGCAGCAATATAGTACTGTTTGGTATTTTCTAGACATTCAACTAAACTGTGTGTTGTTCAAGAAGCTCGTGTAGAGTAACTCAGAAAAGTTCAGAAGAATTACTTTAGCTTTACAAAAGACTGAGTGAGCAAAGATTCTGCTGCCTTTTATCATCTGTGTCTTGGTAGAACAGAGTCTTTGCTCTCTCACTCCCCAGAAAGGACTTGGAGTGAGGATCTGATTCAGGACTGGGTAGAACTTTTGTTACACTAATAGATGAATTTAATACCTGAATAGTTTTCTGCATTTCAGTGCAAAATTTTATATTATTGTGCAATGTATTTGTATTAATCTCACCACTTTATTGGAAAATACCACCTTACTCTACTAGTGTCAGATAGAGTTTGTTCTGCACCTAGAGTATCTGGTAATATTGTGCTTGGATTCCTGTCTGTCTGGCAGTGTCATACCTGGAGAAGGTGAGCATTGCACTGAATGATGAGCTTTCAAATCTTCTTCAAAGTCAAGAAAAAAGTCTTCAAAGTCACGCTCATCTGTGGGGGAGAAAATACCCAGATTTTCAGGAAAACTTCTTTTAGTACAAATTGCAATCATGTCTGTGGTATTTAAGGCCTGCTCTTGCCCTTCTCCCTGCCAAACTGTGAGCAGAAGCAGACACATGCCTACTTGGTTTTGAATTACTGTACTAAGGATTATTTAAAAAGTTGGCACAATCAGAAAATGATCACATTCTTGTTACCCAATTGCCAGTGTGACGACTGCCTAGGGAGGAGTTCAAAACATGAATTCTGCTGCTGTGCCAGGCTACTAAGAATTAACTTGAGTTTTTCTGTTTCTTAAGTCATCACTGTGTGTTCTTGGGTGTATTCTTACTGGGGATAGCCTGAACTTGGAGACTTACTGGTCTGCAGAGTGGAGATAGGACAGAAAGCAGCAGGATGGTGTAACATGTATACGTGCACCTACATAGCAGGTAACAGGTCAAGTAACAGACCTTGGGCTGAAGGGGAAGAAAAATACAGTAGTCTGCTGTCCTGGAGAGCAGATGCACTCTCTGGTACTCAGGAAGTGCTAGAAAATGTATCAGCAGGTATGCCAAAGTAGCCACATAAGCTCTGTGAGTCATCCTGAAGCACGTGCACAGAAGGAGAGCCAAGGATGCGTTGCTACTTCCAAGGCTGGCGAGAAACCTGATCTTTGCTGGGCTGCTCTTGTATGAAGTTACATACCAGCATCGCTTCCCTGTCTCACACATAAAGGGAAGATTTCACTTCCCATGTTATTACATTGTTATTTGGACAGAAAGATGAGTGAGTGAGATTTCTGACAGACAGACCTGAAAAAAATGAGTTTGCTAAGCACAGGAATGCCTCAATAGCAGAACGCTGGGCAAGAGACAGTGAGAGGCTGCATCTGTGACTGTAAAAGAGTACTGGATTTGTTTGACATCAGAGACTGCTCATAGATTTCAGGCAGATTTAAAAGCCAAAGATGGCGATTACCTTGAATCTGTAACAACCCCACATCCTTCCTGTGGAAATCGTCAATGCTGCTATTCTCATCTTTGCTCCACTGGCTGGAGATTTTGTAGTGGCTCTCACAAGCTCCAAAGGCACAGCACTGGTAAGCATAAGGCATTTCCATAACCCTGTAGAAGAATAAGGAAGCATGCCAAGATAGCGGTTTAGCAGCAGGGTTACTGGATTGTACTGCTCCTCTGCTATTAGCACAGAGGAACATGTTTAAATAGCCATGACTGAAAGCAAAAATATCTGTGGGTAAAAATCAGTCATGATAATACAAAATGAGGACTCACAAATAAAATTCCACAACAGAAATGCAAATGATTTCTAGGCTAATTTTAGTAAAGGCACAATGAAACATTTAAAAGCACTTATGCATTTTCATGGGAGATATGAAACTGGGAGATATCTGCCTTGCCACTGAGTGAATGTTTCTCTTAGAGCTGTATTACTATTTTATGATTTTGAATGATTTTGCAGTGTAACCCAACAGTTTCTCCATGTTACTTTCTTAATGGTTTCTTTAAAAAAAGTGGATCCACAGATCACAGCTGCATCTACCTGCCTAACAGACAAAACTAAAACATCACTTCTCAAATGGAATTTCTCTAGTTTGGGGACAACGAGACCTTTTGGAATTTAAATTTTATCCATCTCTTCCCATACCCAACTCTTTTCTCAGTAAAATGGAAAAAAGGAGATTGTGTTTTGCGTACAAATCATGAAAGCACTGCTGTAAACCAAGAGGTGAACGAGTTAGAAAGGCCCTGTGCGTGAAAACAAATGTCACTGAAGAACAGGTTTTACTTTATTAATTGTCTTATAAATGAACATGGTCACTGCAAGACACTGGATGTTTATTCCTAACTCTTTGAAGGTCATCCCTAACACATCACTGAGGATAGGTCTGAGTTTCAAATGATTCTGAGGGCTTCTTTTGTCAGAAAATTGCTCATTTCTGGTATGTTTTGAATCCAGTTCCTTTGGGGATATGCAAAATCTGGCGTAACCTGGAAGCACTGAATACACTCAGGTTCTATAAACTATTTCTTCTATTCCTCAGATAATTCTATGCTTTGGAAGCAGAGATATTTAATTTGCACAGTTTGCCAATAGTACAAAGTAAAACCTAACAGGTCACCTGAATTCTAAAAGCCCAATAAATGAAAAAAAATCAAAGCTAAAGAGGCAAAGTTATTCTGACTTAACTTAAAAGGAATAAAACAGAATTAGATCCTCCTATCGGATTACTTTCAACAGGTTAATCATGTAAATTATCATAATGAGCATTCCAAGCAACCTCTAACCCCCTGGGAAATCTGCAAAGAAATCAGTCGGAATCAGGCGCAGTGCCAACAGGACTTAAACTTGTGCACTAGCCAAAAGCCTGGTACAAAGGAGAGAAATCTAAACTCTAAAACTCTAAAGTGATTTCAAATTAGTGCATTTTGGGGCATTTAGATTCTATATACTTACATTTTTGTTGTGAATTAGCAACAAAAATGTGTACCCTTGTACCCAAATGCAAAAAGCTTCATAAGGTGTTTTTAAGGTACTCCAAGGAAATTTAAGATAACCAAGATCCAACTATTAAGCAACCTCATGCCAGCATATTTAAATACTTAATTTCTAACTCATTTCTGTGCATGCCATCTTTTAAAATAAGAAGATGATCTCAACTGAACATTTTTAACACATTTCCCAGAAGCCCTTCTTAAATAAACTATAATTAAACTCATAGATGACTAGACTAACCCATAGCTCCATAGCTAGTCACGTGGGCTAAATCCAACCTCAGTCCCCAACTAGAAATTCCCCTTTTCTGGATATTAAAAAAAAATATTCCCCACAAACAAACAAGAAAACAAAAACTTCTCAAAAGAAACACTGAAAGTTGTGCAAGGTGATCACTGTAACTTGTGGCTTCTGACCTTTTAGAATTCATTGATACAACTGCAGAAATGATCAGCCATAGTAGATATTTTGGGCTCAAGGGACTAATAAATGTATTCTCTTATCATTCAAATAGATCTGTGTGTTTAATAATGTCAGATTTCCAGAAGCTGTTGTGCTTCTACCAGCCTGCTAGCCTGTCATACATTGAAAATGTGGACCTCTCACATTGTACCAGTCCACTACTTTGATGAAGTAGGCAAAAAACCCCAACTGCTTTTAAATTATCTTTAAAGAGCAAGACTTCTGTTTCCTATCCTCTCTAGTTTTAGGTCTTTCCACCCCCCCCGGGTTACTAGGATATACAGATAGGCCTAAAATTGGTGAGTGCTGCTAATGTGTGTGCAAAGCGTAATTGCACAGAAGGACTGGCACCCAGAACACAGAGGACACAACATACTTTGCAGGGCAGAGAAATAAGTATCAGCTTTTCTTGGTGAGAGTGGAATTTCTCATGAAAAATATATTCAACAAAAAAGAAATAAAAATCCCTAACCAAAAAACAAACAACAAAACCCAAAACCTCTCAGCCATAAAGTGCTGGAAGCGATCCTTTTAATGGCTGGTGCTTATTTGATGTGGGTGATTAGATTTGGACTTTGTTGAACTAAACTCTTTTAGAAACACTGGCTGAATTTATTTCTCTCTATTGCTTATCTTTCTGATGACATCTGTATCCTTGATAATTATTCCACAGCAAGGAATGCCTTTTTTTTTCTGATTTTTGATTAAGCAGCAGAGAACACAAGGTTATTTTCTGCATTGCAAAGGTGTGGGGTTGCTGGTGAATGAGAAGTTACAGTTATGATGAATGAAGCAAACACTGAGTTCTTTACAGTGCTGAATCAAAGCATCAGATCAAGAAGGAGGGAGTGGATGGCAGCCTGACTTTACTTCCTCAAAGCTTGCCATAACAGGCTGGGCTCAGCTCTTAGAGCATTCTCGTGCCATTGCAGAGTTTTAATCTGCTCCGCACTCCTACTCATGACTCCCTTACTGATAATTCCAAACACTTCAGTTCTTTTCATTAGTGGTAACATCTTGAGTTGTCTGGCTACTAAGACTCATAGGACTTTGCCAGTGCAAAAGGCAAACCTAGTGAAGACATAAGAATGGAGTTTCCCTCCTTGGAGACATTCAGAAGTTGTTTGGACATGGTCCTGGACAACTGGTTCCAGGTGACCCTGCTTGAGTAGTGTGGGTTGCACAAGACGACTTCTAGAGTTCCCTTCCGACATCAACCATTCTGTGATTCTGTAACTATGTGCACGCCCATTGTTTCAGATTTTATGGTAGCAAGCATTTTACAGTAAAACATAGAAAAAAATATATGTTGCATTTGGCAATCTCTAATTAAAATGTAAAAATCAAGAGAGAATTAGGGGACACTCCCTGAAGTCATGGTGATTTCTCTGTGGTCATCCAGTGACAGGCAGAGCTGCAGATGATCTCTAGAGAACATTTCCTTCCTGTATCACAGAGCATCCAGCAGAAAATTATGAGCATCAAAATGTTTTAGTAATAATGGCAAAGTATTATCTGAATCTTAATCAAAAGATAACAGAAAAAAACCATGGTCAAAACAAGTGAGGTCAAATATTTTGGAACTCCAGAAGTATATTCTTCCCTTGGTATTTGCTGTGTTCTGACCAAATGTATGTCCTGTAAGCACAATCCAGTAGACAGACATATCACTAAGCTGCTAGCAATATTGTTTTAACAGCTTTCGAAACATATCACCAGGAAGCAGATGTGGCTCATATTAAGCAAGTACTGGGGTTAATATTTCAAAACTCTTCATAGTTTCTTCAGTTAAAAGTGAGCATAATAAAAGAAGTCTATCATTTTTATCATATTTGCTTTAGTTTTAATAGCACAGATCAAAGACTGACAATACAAAGTAACATGCATTACACACTGACACACCTTCCATTGCACACGAACACAAATGTGGCTTATTAGTTTTAATGATATACTCACTTGAGTTCTGGAAAATTTTCAGATGATATCAAACTTTGTAGGGCATGATTTCCTGTTAATTTTAAATGAGTTAAACCATGTAGCCCCGTCACAGGAAAAGAGGACAAAAGGTTGGATGACACATCCCTGCATAACAGCAAATAAAAATCAGCTTATGGGTTTTCATCTTTTTTCTTTAACTCTAGAAGCGTCATGTTGGAAAAACAGATTAGACTTTTCTAACTCAATCAAAAATTACTACATTAAACAGAGGCCTCAGTCAGCAGAGCAAAGCTGCAGCACCACTCAGGAGTATGCACCTATGCGTCCAGCAGAATGCTAACAGTAGCATCTAGCATTTAGCTAAGTCTCTGTTGCCAAATTTTGACTCCAAACATTCATAGTGGCAGTTTTGAGATGAGCAAATGAATTTAAAATCTGTTCATTACATTGTTTGAATTAAAGAAAGCTGGTACCAGAACAGCTTCCCAGTTTAAAAGATTCAGTGGGATGCTAGAGGGCATGGCTGCCCTGAAAGCTCCAGAGGGAGCAAGTCAGGTGTATGAGGAAGACGTGTTTCAGGGTAGGATGGGTCTGGGCTGGAGCAGATGAAGGTGACAGTTCTTAGCTGAGGTTTGCCTGAGGAGCTGAGGGAAGACAGCGCTGATGAACATGTATATATAACTTCAGAAAAGTAAAACAGGAGAAAAAAAAAAGTGATATAGTATTCAAAAAGGGGGGAGCCCAGAGGTACTCTTTTCTCTATTTTTCCCTTTTTCTTTCATTTATTCTATGAGCCTTTTCAGTCCTCTTCACAATTACCTACACTGCAATACTTCAAATGGTCAACAGTCAAGAACAAGGAAGAAGGGGAGTCTGATGTTACTGAAATCCTTTTATGCCCAAGGCTGAACATCAAAGTTCCTGTCTCTTGGACTGTCTACTGAAATCTAAGGGCTAGACATAAAAAAGGTATGTTGATGAACTGGTGCTCTACCTATCTGATTTAGTGTGTGTCCTCTTGCTCACAAGACAGTTAAATACAAAAGGTGAAATTCTGGTCCTACTGCAATGCTAAAAATGACCCCTGACTTCAGTCAGACCAGGGTTAGAGACTAGCATTTTAGGGAACACTACTGCACTGTTACAGTGTGTGTGTTAAAGGGCTTTTTTCTTTAACTCTTTCTGACTGTTCTATGCTACTGACCAAAGGCACGATTTACTACTCCCCTCACAAAGTAGGAAAGTTTGAGGAGGGCTCCAAAAGGGATGTCATAGACAATATTGTCTTTATGGACTATTCAGGCGGCTTTGCACATCAACAGAAATTAGTACCCCTTTAAAGTTTAGGTTTCCCAGCAGCAACTGGATTACCTATGAACAAATGCCCAGCAGTGTACTTTTGTGACAATCTTGCAGCAGGATGACTCCAGGGGATTTTTTTTTCCCTGGGACTCATTTTTTCAAGAGGCATTACAATGACAATGGGAAATAGGAAAAAGTTAGTAAGGACTGAGAAGTGCTGTGATCAAGGCCTGCAAAACTGATGGCTGATGTTTTGAATTTACTACAGAAGAAAAACTATTCCATCAAATAAGGAATGATGAAATAAAGATGTGTACTGAAAAACGCTTCTTATTTAAATTTTAATCCCATTCCTTAGTCCTGAAACACAACTAAAATGAAATATTCCCCGCTGCTACAAGAGACTAAAATGCTAACAAATTAAACAAAGATGCAGATGCATCGATAACTTCATGAACCCCAAATCATTCTAATTACACAGTGTTATATGCAGCTTTGCCATAATACCTGTGGGGGATGGTGAAGTACAACGAAGCAGGCATTTAGATATGGATTCAACAGACCAGAAGATGAGAAAAAAGAAAGCTTTGATTTCTGCTGGGGCACTAAGTTATTAAATTCTTGTATGCTCTTGCAAGACAAATGTGAACATTTGAATGTAAAAGATATACAAATACTTACAGTTTGATCAGAGATGGTAAAGAGGAGAAGGCATTGGGGTGAATAATTTTAATTTTGTTCCAAGCTAAATCCCTACAAGAAAAGTGAGTGGAAAATTACATACCCACTGAGTGAATGTGGAAGTTTTCATACACTTGATTAGGGCGCCTAAATATAGAAAAGGTATTATTTACATGCGGATATTTTCAATAAACTTCTGCATATCTTATAGTGCAAAATCTTTTTTCCATTTTTAAATTATGTTAGTCCATTCATGGTATTAGTTATTAAACTGACAACTTCTAAAAAATGTTATAGTGCCTTATAAAGTCTAAGGCAGGTATTTTCAGTCTCCTTCATAGCTTCCCAAGGCAGCAGAAAGAAGGGTGGGGTATACAGACTACTTCTAAGAAGTCCTCATGTGACTAAGAATAGAAAATCCATTGCCAATAGGCTTAATTTCCTAATCTCAATCTTCACTGCCACTGAAAAGTCAAAAAGACTGAAAACAACTCTTAAAAGAATGTATGGGTTTGATTCTGCAAGTTCCAAAACTTACAACCATGAATAATCTCTTGGCAAAATTACTCTGTTAGCACATGTGCCTATGTGAAAACTAGAAACCCACACATAACTGGACTGTATTTCTTAAGACACTGTTCTCTATAAAGGGATTTCATGCTCCCTAGAGCTCACTATTAGGTGAACCTGCCAACAGACACCAGCTATAGCTCAGTATCTCTCTCTACCTCTATCAGAAACATTTGAAAGTAACAGCTTTTATAGCTATAAATTGATGACTTTGAATTCGTTGCTGCAGATGCTAAAATTCACAATGTTTGTTCTCCTTTCGCAGTTATGACCTAATGGGTGGAAGATCAAAGTGAGATAAAATGGAAACAAGGATGTTTTGGGGCATACAGTGAGCAGACAGCATAGACCCCATGCTTTTGAGAACCTGGGTGAATGGCTGTTAGGGCTGTACTCACAGAGACCGAAGAGCAGCCAGCTGCCGAAATGTGTCTGCTTTGATTTCACCGATTTCATTATGATGCAAGTCACTGAAACAGCAATAAGAATCTCTTCAGTTTCAAAGGCACTTGCAGGACACTTCAGGGTGTTTTGGATTGTGTTTATGATACACTTCAATATAGTGTATGTGTTTGGGATATGTCAAATCACCCAGCAATAATTCAAGTTAATGATGCTCCAACAAATTTGTATATAGATGCTTCTTTTTAGGCTTTTTAGGGTAGTTTGGCACTTACATTTTTTGAAGTTTTTTACAGGCAGTAAAACAAGGTAACTCTTGCAGCAGGTTATAAGACAAATCCCTGTAATACAGAAGAAAATAAAAGATTAACATCAAAGTAACATTAAAAGAAAAAGATCTTTCATTGTCTACCTTCATGCTCAATTTAAAATAACTTGTTTTCATTCCACTCACAAAAGAATAGAAATGTGCAAACTCACTTATCATCTCTCATCTGTCAGATTTTCATTTCTGACTGAGGAGGAGAGAGAAAAGGAAAAGCACGATGTATTAACTCCATATCCTATGTTTGCAAATTCCTTTCATTGTCTGAAGATTTCCTGCCTAAAGTACAGACTTCTGCTGAGAGTTTTGTAGTAATGATATTGGCCATCTGCTTATAGGAAATATTCGATTTACATCACAGACTTCATATCCATCATGCTTAAATTCCGAGGAATATTTGAACCATTTAAAATAATGTGCTAAATAGCTATACATTCATACTTCTTCAGAGAAGATCCTGTATCTTTCTGGTAATAATCACAAGGGACTGCAATCAGCTGTCCATTCTACACTTTTAATTAAGCACTATGCCTCCCTGATCTTTAGATCTTGTAACTGAGGGAAATAGTAAAAAAAAAGGTATTGGAACTAACTAACATTGAAACCAATCACTACACGGGGGAAAAAACCTCTTTAACAGACTTGAGCCAAAACTCAACAAATTACAGAATAACTGAAACATCTGGACTGATTTATAGCATAATGTAGCTAATCAAAACCAAGCCCAGGCAATTTGCAGAAATTGGAAGAAAAAAAAAAATTAAAGGACCAAACACTCACCCCCACCATGCAACAGTCTCATCCTATATATACGTGTTGCTCAGGGAAAAATGAATGGGCAATATGCTAGTGAGGAAATACACAAAAAAGCTTATTCCTACAATTAGGAAAAATATCCTTTTCCACAGCTATCCAATATGATCATGTAAAAGAGTAATCTCTTTTCAAACCTGCTTTAAATTCTTCAAATCTGGTTCATAGGCACCCATTTCCTTCCTTGGTAAAATTTTATTTTCACTGTTTCTATCCCAACAGGGGCTTTTAGACTGTTCTACATAAAATAAAAAAATGTGAATTTCCAATGAACAGTCTAACTCTACTATGAAATGTATAAGTTATTAATTACTATAGTATTTATTTGCCTTCTGTTTTGAGGTTATTTATTGGTTTTGAATAATCTGAAGGGGGGGTACACGGGTGCTGGAGAGGGACTCTTCATCTGGGACTGTAGAGGGTAAGGGGCAATGTGTTCAAATTTAAACGGGGGAGATTCAGGTTAGATACATGGAAGAAGTTCTTCACTGTGAGGGTGGTGAGACACTGGAAGAGGTTGCCCAAGGAAGCTGTGGTTGCCCTAACCCTGGCAGTGTTCAAGGCCAGGCTGGACAGACCCCTTGGGTAACACGGTCTAGTGTGAGGCGTCCCTGCTGATGGCAGGGAGGTTGGAACTGGGTGATCATGAGGTCCTTTCCAACCCTAATCACTCTACGATTCTATGAATGCAGGACATATTTAAACTGCATGCAGACTTCCCTGTGGCAACAGAGTCTGTTTCTGTCTTTTATCACTCTGGAAATGATTATATTGATTCCATCAACTAAAACTTAACTTTTTCTGGAAATGTTCATGACATCCATGCTGGTATTCAAATAACGTGTTATAATTAGTGCTATTTCAATGCTGGCCAAAGGACTAATACCAAATACATTCCTCGTGATGTAATACATAGAGGAAAGTGCTGCTGGCTCTTTCTCAAAGAAGCAGACACAATGATTACTTTCATTAGTGATTAAGCAAACTCCAAGGAAATTTTCAGGCTAAAATAACATTGGGTATGTAGTATAAAAACTATGCCCCAACTATGCCAAGCAATAGTCTGCTAAAATTTCAGCCAGCTACTTATGTCTGGTCAGAAAAGAAACTAAAAGAGGAGCATAACAAGGACTCAATACTACACTCCTTAGTTATATTTTCCATTCACTTCACTGAATTATCTGCCTCACTGAGTTAAAAACCCCCAGACTGCTGTAGCAGAGACAGAATGAATGAAAGTACGGTAGTTCTGTTGTGTTTTAAACAAATTAAAAACCATTTTATGCTTTCCTAAAAATATGTAAAGTAATTATCTTTTTTCACCAATGTATGGGAAATCCTGATCGATAAGGGGGTTGTAAACTTCTTGAGGAACACAGGGGTCTGCTCCCTGAGCTGAATTCCTAAGAATTAACAGGATACACAGTAATAGCAGCAACTGGGTAATTTTGAAATCAGAATGATTCATTTGTCCATTAATCTCTTGCATTAATGTAACATTAGTAATCTTACTGAAACGTACAGCACTTGGAGATTAGGTAACTGGTCACAAGCTGATCTGGGGAGAGAGGTGATCTGTGCTCCTGTGAGTGTCCTGTTGAAAGTATTGATTTCAAAAAAAAGAAAACCAAAAAGATTTCTTATTAAAGATTGCAAAACAAATATAATTTTAAGACATTCTTTAGAGTAAGTATCCAAAAAATAAAACAGAGCACAAATATTTTTCTCACTTACAAACTCTCCAGACTTGTAGTCCCTGTCAGATCAGGAAACTCTGTTATCTGTGAAGCACCATTTAAAGTTCTACAAGATAAAAACATTTCAATACAGTTGTGGTAAGTGCAGGACAACTCTAATATTGCAGTATATAAAGACAATTATATAAAGACAATTAAGATAAAAAAGTAAGCACATACAGAGTTCTGAGTTCTGGTAAGTGTTGAAAAGCAGATTTTCCAACAAGCTGTATAGGGTTGTCATAAAAATGTCTGAAAATAGAGGATAAAGGACATTTTATGAAAAGTATTTTAAAAAATTCTAAATATATTACATGATTATGCTAAAAGTAAATGAGTAAACTCCCTACGATGAACCCCAGACTGTGCACCTCTGGTTGTAGCACCCACTAATTTATATCCACCAACCCTACTTCACACTTTGAACACTGAAGTAGTCATTGTTTTCTTGGTTTTAAAGCCAGAAGCCAGTCCCAAAATATTCCCTCTTCCTCCCAAGTTTGCAAAGATAGAAATACATATATGAAGAACTTTGTTATGACCCGGGACAAATTTAATGTTAGTGGATGAAGAAGTCAGAACTTCACCTACTCAGAAGAGCAGCTTTAAAGTCATGTTGCTTTTGTTCATAGAATAACATTGCTCACGACAAGTGACTATTTTTTTTTAACATTTATTTTACAAGATCTAATTCTGAGGTTTGCCCATTAAATGCATTGTCATGTAAGACAATGGGAACTCAGACTGGAATCCATCGAGAGTAACTCTGCTAGCTTCTACATTGCCAGTAATGCCAAGAGGCTTGGAAGAAACAGTTCAAATCAAAGGTCAAAGGCCAGAGACCACTACTCGCTTCCCTTAAACAGGGCATGTAAACTGCCATTCTTTCCACAAAACTGGAAAGATATGAGCTTATTTGCTTATATAATGATGTGCTACAGAGTACGTTCACAAGAAGGGCTATTTGACAATTAGCCACAAATATGACACTTAGTTCCATGTTCTCTAATCAGAAGAGTCATGAAAAGCACTCTTATCACTTACATTGTAATAAGTGATGGATTACCCACAAATGCACGCTCAGGTATTGACTTGATGTTATTGCTATGAAATCCCCTACAAAAGGAAAAATGATTAACACAGTAAGAAAAAAAGTGAAGGCACAATCCGTATTCACAATGCACAGGTTTTTTTTTGCTTATTATAAGAAAAGCATCTGTATGTAAAGATATGTCCTTGTTTTCTGGAATAAGAACTGAAAAAGGCAAAAGAAAAGAAAAACAATGAAATAGGTGGAATTCTGCTCTTTTCTAAATGAACAAAACAAACACAATAGTGTGTGTATATATATCTATATATATTTCCTCCTGTACTTGTTAAACTGCAAGTATTTCTTTTGCTGGGATAATAATGGATCGCACAAGCTTATCAAGTAAATGGTTTTTACATTATATTGTAATCCATTGAGCCTCCCACAACCATCTTTCTGTTGGAATATTTTAAATGTGGATGTGAACAAACTCTCCAATGTACTCAGAAGGCGCAATTTTTGTCTCATCATTAATTACTGGATTTTATTCATATGAGTAATTCTCCATTGTGAAAAACAAAAGACACAACTAAGATTTCAAAAGAACAATGATGATTTGTGTGGGAAACTCCCATTAGTTCAGTCGGGTATGAAAAAGGCTTTCCAGCTTAAATTTATGCATTTAGAAAGCCTCAGATTGTTCACTGATGCAAGCACACTTGGCCATTACTTGAACAGGTCCTACATTATTGGTTTTACTTGTTTAGGCATTGTGCTACTGCTGATGAGCTACACAGCAAGGCTCTAAATCCCTAGCTCTTTTGCACGCAGTAAGAACTGCATCTATGCAGATGCAGACTCTAAGCAGTATGAGGATGCCATTTTATCCAGAACAGTTTTGTGGCTGTATTGAATAGGATTCAATACATGACAGAAAAGCTAAGGAAATGGCATGACAATTTCCCAGCACAATTCTGGCCCTCGTCATTATTCTGACTTGAGTCAGAGAGCAGCCCCATCAGAGCAGACTCCAATGCATTTATGCACAGAAAAGCCTGAAACACTTCTGAGTCAGAAGAGAGTGTGCTCACAGCTGTAGCCTGTGTCCTGGACACTGTACCCAAGTGACACAAACTGTCTGAATTTAAGGCACCTTATAGCCTGTTGATTCACACAATGAACAAAAGAACAGTGAAATCTATGTGCCTCCCCAGGTAAAAAGACTATATTAATGCCACACTGGGAAAAATGCTTCTACAGTTACCTTCAAAACCCAGTCTGTAAAACATTGTATATACATGAACTTTGGGTAACAGCTATATCCACTTACTTTGGAGAGGTAACTGCTCCTACAGCTGAGACCTTGAAATGCAGAGCATCTGGGACAACGGGGTCTCTGTAGCATCGAACAGAAATGGCCCTGACTCGCTGGCCACTTGCCAGCAGAGATCGAGCTCTGACTGCCTGCCTTGGATGCCTCCAAGCTGGAGACAAATGCCATAGTCTGTGTTTTCAGCCCAGGCATAACTTCTGAGAGAAAAATGACATCCCACTAAGAAATACCCTTACTAAGGTGGCCCTGCAATGAGCTGAACCTCTGTGGGCTTAGGCTCCTACTTGGGTGGGGACACTAGGGCATGCACAACCTTGTGGGAACACCTTGTGCATGCAAGATAAGCTTTCCAGAGCCCAAACAATGCACTGAAGCACATGGTCTCATGGTCTGTGCTGGATTTGGGATGTCAGGTTGCAATTTTACACCACAGAGATTTCTTGCACCTATGAGCTTATCTGAAACATAAGTGTGATACTCAGAGGTGAAGTCCTACAGGAGCCAGCAAGTAATCTCAATCACATGAGGCACTTTGCTGGGTTATCCATGTTTGGCTACTGGCACCAGAGGTCAGCAAAAAGACAATCCTTAACAGCCACTGGATTTCATACCAATTATTTTAGCCAACAAGATGACATAATAGCAGCTGAGAACAACTGGGCTGCAAAACTCGTAGCCCCAGTTCCTCCTCCAGAGCTGCACTGTGCCAGCACTGTCCCAGCACTGAGCTGGAGGCAGCACTGCCTGAGGGTCCCTGCTTTGGAAAAAGTCCAGGTAGCTATTTAAAGGGGCTTTAAGATCAGTTTGTGATGCAGCAGGGGTACAACCACGTCCAACTTGTATATGACTACCTGTTGTTTTCAAAAACCTATTCTGATGGTACAAGTAACATGTTAAATAATTCAAAGGGAAAAAATTCTCAACATATGCATTGATGTGTACAATTGTGTGCATGATGTGTGAATCGAATTTCATTAGTTTGTAATAATTCAGCTCTTTCTTACAATAAACTTGGCTCATTTAATTTTTGATTATTTTTTAATGCAAGCTATGTCTGTGTATCCAGAAGTGTTTTATTTACAGCATTACAAGGGACTATTTACGTTGAAAAGAAAATGCTTTAATTTAATGCGGGGTAGGGAGGGAAGAAGGTTAAACCTTTAAACCTGATGGACTAACATCTTCTGACACTAGAAGACCGTGACTTATTGGACTGTTTGCAAAATCCAGCTGTTGTGTTTGGATTCAAAGTGAATTCATTGTGTTTATTTACTGCATTCCAGGGAGAAAGTTCCTCAAAAAAAAACCCACTGCACAATGCAGTATACAAGTAAAAGTTGTCAGAACTTCAATGCTCTAAACTCAGTGTTGAAAATGATCTTTTATGCAAGTTGGCATGTTTATTAGTTTTTCCTAGGATATCAGTTTTTAAGGATTACTGATAAAATCACCAGCATTAAAAAAAAAAATCACATACTAGACAAAACATCCTCCTTCCTAATAGCAGCTCTGTACTTACAGTTCTTTTAGGTTTGTTAGTGTCCTGATAGCAGTGGGGAACTCGTCCAGACTGTTGTAATTTAAATCTCTGTGTGAAAATGGATTTTATTATTTAGGTTATTCACTGCATATGAAGTAATGAAGTATCACCTTCCATGCATTGAATAAATACATACAGACAAAAGCCAGGATATCCTTGAAAGTATATGGATGTTTTCCAACAAACTCTATTTAGGGCACATTATAATTTATATTTTTTAATCAGCATCCTATTTTTACTTATATCTTAGCTATTCTGAGATGAAGAAAACATAAGTGGATTCAGACACAGATTTGCTGTTTTTCAAATTGCCCATCCGAATCATTACTCGAAAGTATTAATGGCGAAAAAATCTTTCAAACAGAATATTCAGCAACTTTATATAGTGAGCTGTGTGTCACACGGCTAATACATCTCACTATGATGTATTTCTCTGATTCACTGTCTAGTCATATTAGTCTCCCTGTTTGTTTTACTTTTTCTGATGAAAAATCTCTAAAGAGTTTTTTCACAATGGTTAAGTGGTAAAAATAAGAGACACTGGAGTTTGGAGGGTAAAAATGATTGGTGGAAATCTTCCTCTAGCTAAAATAAGTGGGAAAACATACAGTAAGTTCAATGTTACCATTATCTGTATTGTTAATTTCAAGATTTGTCAATGTTCATACAGAGAATGTTTCTAATCACACAAATTGTAAAGCCAGTAGTTTAGTTAGGGTACGGACTTCTGCTTTAAGAAATGCTCATGCTGCAGTGGTAATTAGACTTTATTCAGGTAGATTGAATGGACTATAAGCCTTCTTTTGCCCTCAGATTGACGTATGCATCCTCTAGCATTCAGGAGACACATGAAACTAAAACCAAGATATGCTAGGTTACTGTGATGCTCTCTGGCACTGCTTTGTGAAGCATATAGTCTGAAAAACTTGAGCAAAAGCCTTTTTGAACAAGCAAAACAGAAATCACAGTTTACAATAGATTGAAATTGAAATAGTATCAGGCTGAAGTAATGCAGGCAGGAAACTGCTGTCTGAACTCAACAAGGTTTTCCTTCCTGCTTGTAAACCTCTCTTGCTTATTGACAAAAAGAGATTACAGACATGTACAGTTTGGTTTTGCCCTCCAGTGACATGTGATTTCCAGACCTATGCGTTGATGCAAACAAATTATCTTAAAGCTGGTGTCCATCATTTATGCTGAGATCTCTTTAGATTATCTTGAAACTATCTGGAAACTGGTCTATACAGGACACAGTTACCGGGCTTCAGGCAAGTACTACATTCTGTTATTACAGTCAAGTGGCTGCACCTACACTTATTCCCAGGTTCCTGACTGTCCTCTGTGTTTTCATCTCTCTCATGCCAGGTGGCTGGGACTGGCTTTGCAATTACTTATTCCATTGTTCTGTTTTTCACAATTTTTGACCAAGTGCCATGTGAATCTCATGTAAAAAAACCAAAACAAACAATTACATTTTCCTTCCCCCTTTCCTGTGCCCCTTTCCGGTGCTGCTCTAAGGGACTTCCTCTCAACTCACAGCCAGCTAAAAGTCAAAATTGCAAAACTGCAATTCAGTGGCAAGGGATCAATGTAATCAAAACTAGTGATAAAAAAAAAAAAAGGCCCCAACCTTCTTGCTCTCTGGTCTTAATGAAACATGAAAGTGGGCAGTACATTGTTCTGTGGATGAGAAAGCAGTCACCTTTAGACTAGCATTATTCATGTTTGAAACTGTCTATTTGTTCCTTGTATAACAGGCCTTTTAGCCTCTGGCATGGTTGGGTGAAATACTGTGAATCTCTGAAAATGATGCAGCTGACTGTGGCAGGTGCCAGCGGAAGGATGTGGAAGCGTCTACTCTCCTTGTAGCATTTTGGGGGGTTGGGGGCTACTCCAGCGGACACCACTTTTACTTGAGTAACTCTGCAGTAAAATACCTTGAGCTAACCGTCAGCACTGCATTCCTGTTTGGCATTCTTCTGTAGAATTACTTTTTGCCAGAAAACTCAAGAAAATTTGAATAGGTCTGAACAAACTACAGTGGAAACCTGAGGAAGCATCAATCTGTACCAGTGCTATTCTTTATCAGAGTTCTTTAAATACAAAAACTTGGATACAACTGAAACGCTCTTCTTCTCCCTTTGTAAAATACATGCATAATTTGGCTACCTGGCACTTTCATCTTTTCCAGGGATATAAAACCCCATCTAATTTTATAACACTACGGTGAGACAGTTTTCTAATGTTAAGACTTTTCATTGTGACAATTACCCAATCTACCTATTATTTGCTTTATTGATTAAACAAGACAAATAAATAGTACTAAACTAGCCAAACATATCTGTTCATGAATAGCCACTTCTTTTTCAATGCTCAATAGTTTTCAACTGTTCTTCAAACAATTTATCGATTGACAATGCTTATTAAAAAGGCAAACTAATTTTATAGTCAAAAATAGGATTTGCTACGTAGAGTCATTGTAAGCCACCACTTAGATCCTGTAGCGATTAGGCAGGCCAAAACCCACATTTGGCTTTTAGGCTATTTTTATTCTTTCAGAATATTAATGAAAACACTCTAAAAAAAGGGAAACAAATAAGAGGTCAACTCACAAAGTCTCTAGGCTGTGGAGCCCATCAAAGCATTTCTTTCCCAGGGAGTAGATTCTATTGTTATGGAGATGTCTGGAGGGGAACATTAAGCACACAGTCAGGAAAGCACACTGCACAGAGTGGACTTAAGCAAAACATTTTGATAGTTAAATCAAAAGAAATTTATTTCCAGGCATGTACTGATTATATGCAAGTCATGCTTTTGCAAAAGCATGTATAGAAGGCACCCCGACTGCCTTTCTCCTCCCCCCCCCATATGTCCCCACCCATGAAAGGCTTCCATTTAGAAGGGATTTGTTTTAAATCACCTAGATTGTTTATAAAGGGCATATCCCAGAGTTCCAGGTTGGGGGTTGCACATCAAATACAGAGAAATTGTAGAGATATTCACAGTGGTGGTTAGTAACATGTTGTCTTAAAAACCATGTATGGGGCATGAGGTGTATAGGGAAGATGTATATTCAAAGGGTGTCAGAGGATATGGCACAGAACAGGAGCAGGTAAGGAGATGGATAACACAGCAGACAGGAAAGGGGCATTAGGCTTGCAGAACAAAAGACGACACAGGGCCATAGGACAAGAAGTCGTACCTCCACTGATATGAGTAAACTAACCCATCTCAAAAGTGCTGTAACTTGCCTTCCTTTGAAACTGTAAGAATCAACATCTGCTTTCTCAGACGTTTAGCAGTTGAAAGTAATTTTGTTATGTATTTCAATCAGCTTCTCACACAGAGTGCTATTTCTGAGATTTTTAGACTAACGTGATAAAACCCCACTCCCAGTGAAGCTCATTAATGTGAGCAGATACAACCTGAAGCCACTTCATGTTGTTTTTTAAAAAAGATGCCTTTTTTTCCCAGCAGTTTTTTATTTTATTCTTGACACTCTACACCTAAAGTGGGGAGAAACTATGGGAGTAGCCCTTTAAAAGAAAAGAAGGGCTGTAAATAAGGGTCTACCAGGCACTTTCCCTTCAGTGCTTTATTCTGCTCTAAAAATACTGTTGAAGATCAGAGCCTCTCTGAATGCTCTGCAGAACCTGCAGAAATTGAGTCTACCTGTCCACAAAAGGCAGGGATTCTGATGGTAAAATGCAGATCTTCCATGAGTTTTTACTTTCCCAGGAAGAAAGCTAATCAGCTATTTTTCTTAATGACTACACTGACCTTTAATACTTTAGTTAGCATGGAAAGCGCATCTCCAACTTGCAATTATGTTTGGATATTTAATGATAGAGCTTCAAGCCTGCTCCAATTGACCATGCTTTTTTGCACTGAGTTGAAACTTTGCCAGACAAAAGACAGCAGAACCACACACAAAGATTCTGATGAGCCAAAAATACTAGATGTTGTAGATCATGAAGAATGATTCCATTATTAATCAATATGAAGACCAGAAGATTAGAAATAATCAAGGCAGATCTAAACCAAGGAAACCTAACTGAGCAGAAGTAATCAAGGCATGAAAACAGATAATTTTCTCATGAATTTCTTAACATGTCTCTTATCACTACGTTTTTGGTTGGGATCTAGAGCACAATGTTAAGGAAGTCTCTTGCCTTTAGCACTATTAAGCCTAGAAGCTCCATCAAATAACAAGTTCATCCAGTTTTTAACTTGATTTGGTTTGATACTTAATGTAAAGAAACAAAAGACAAAAGTTTTGCAGCACAAGGCTGCTGTTATCCCTCATTTTTGGTGCCCTATATGCTTATATAAGCACTAGGCAGAGATGGTGATTATAAACGTCAACAAAAGAACCCAAGCATGTGCCAGGTTCAATGCTTACATTAGGGTTAGTATATGCTAAAATATGCTAAGAGTCTTAGCATAGTGACTACGGTTTTGGACAGCTTGTAAAGCTTGAATATATTATTCTTTCTTTAATAATGACAAAATTTTCCAAAGTACCCTGAAATAACTTTTCCACCTCAGTTTCTCCAGCCAGTCCAGATTTTTTTTCCATCTGGTACATTCCCAGAAGAAAAAAAGATGAAACTGTGCTTCACAGTATACCTTCCGGATTTTGCTGCGAGCTATGCATATTTCATTTAGTTGAACTCTTATGCAAACATAAGCAACTACAAAATTACATATACTTTCTATGAAGAGAAGTGCATACTTTTTCTACTGGACAGCATTCTTTTTCCAAGTCATCCAGAAAGCTCTCAGTTCATTTCCTGTTTCTAATCTTCCCTAATTTAGCCCTTAGAGTCTTAGAGGACACACAATTCATCTCTTCCTGTTTGCTTTGCTGACCAGATAGGGTGATTGTTTAATTCCCTTATGTAGCTCTTTATTGGTGATGGAAACTTGTAAGCTCGATCAAAACAAGTGATGCAGCAAATGCCAGTTTAACTTCAGGAAGATGTAAAAATCTGCTTCTCCAAGCTAATTTTTAAATATTATGGATTGTTGCAATTCAGAAAAAGGAATTTATATTTCAAAAAGAACATTCTCTGCAGCAAACAAAACTGACCTCTTGGTAAAGAAATATCACTAAGCCGAGTGCAAATGTAGAAGGGAAACTGCAGATTCATAGCCTGAAGATAACAATCTAATATTAAGACTGTAAGACAAAATGGATGTTTAATTAACCCAGATATATACCTATTTATCTATCATTTGCCATTTATCTCAAGCAACATCAAAATTAAACGCAGTATCTTCAAGTTCTTTATCACAAAGAGAACAGACCTGCAAAGAAGCTGAGATTGTGTCTAAAAAAGCAATCAATAAAACTTACAGAACTACCAAACTAGAGAGGTTTCCAAAAGCATAGTCTGGTATATAATGGATTTTATTCAGTGCCAGTGTCATTGCCTGAAGTGCTGGTAAACTTCTAAAAGCTTGGACAGGAATTTCTGTCAAAGAATTATCATCTAGCCACAGGTGTCTAAGGGAGACCAAGCCATTGAAGCAGTTGGGGGGCACATAGTTGATGTGGTTGGCATCCAGACGTCTAGGAGAAAAAGAAATAGAGAAAATTGACTCTGAGAAAAGAACAGTGGATTTCCACAATGACTATCAGAAGTTATCACCAACAACACAACCCCAAAGGATGCACATGTGTTGCCACATCCATTTTTCATTTTCTGGAGATCCTACATTTCCATCTTGCTTGCAGCCTCAGCCCTGAGACCTCACATTATGTTTACAATTCTCCTTGTCAGCTGGCTCTCCACAGACAGCTCTCCTTTGGAACCATCAGCTCACAGAGAGCACACACTGATCATTTTTGAGCAGACTCTCTGTTACAGACCAGGTATGAATTTGTTTCCCTTCCCAATCATTTGAAAGTATGGAATAAAAAAAAGTGCAAGAAACCAAGCAAGAGATTCTCTTTCAGAACCTATAAATCACTGACCTGCAAGATGGGTTTCCATATGCTCTCTCATTCTAAGAGCCAAAAATAAAACTCACTTCTGAGTCTCTGTTCCTGGTTTACCTTTCATATAAAATGTTTATTCCAATGATTATAATGAGCACTGAAGTTCACATTTTTTGTAGTGGAACAAAACGTTTTAAAAAATCGTTTAGTGCTGCTAATGCAATATACTTATTTTGAGAAAGAAGTTATTAAATACACTTCAGTTGCTGCAGAGCCAAGAGAGGGAGCCCAACTGCGCATCGTACCTCTTCAGAGTCTGCAGGTGATATTTTGCTCTCATACTTGTGTAAATAAGGATTAAATCTACTGAACTTTTTGCAGATGTGGTGCTAGAAATATTATGTCATGTATTCAGTGGCTTCTCCGTCTGCTCTGTTTTGCTTTCCCATTGTGATGCTTTCAGGGAAATATTTAAAAGTGTGCTTCACCTTTCTGAAACTTTGCAAAGCATTCAGCCGGTGATCTGTACTCCAAAACACTTTCTGCTTTTAATGTGTTGTAGTGACTTGTACCTTGGTCAGAACATGAAAGCCATGCTCTTAAACTCTCCTTGAAGATGTCTGTACAGGGCAGTAATTAAGTGAATGGTGAAACAGAAATAAATGCAAATAGATGTTTGAAAACACAACAGAACAAACAACCACATCCAGGGTACAAAGAAGTAATTCTGTACAACCTAAATTCGGTCTGTTTGAGAGAAGTGCAATACCTTTTGTGGCGAGCATGCTAATCTCTTTATTTAAAGCTGTTTCCTCATTTATAGTCATGTAAAACGTCAGGTCCACTCTATCTCCTGCTCCATGCTGCTCCTACCTACTGCATGAGAACAAATAATGACTGCTAAGGCTCTGTGCCAGGCTGACAAATAACTGAGACAAGGTCAGTCGGAACAAATTTATAAAGTTCAGTGTCAAAGCCCTTGTACAATTAAATTTTTGATATAATAACTGACATGGCTGGCAGCAGAGACGGAGCTTCCAAACAACTCAGGGGTCTGTCAACAAATGGGTGAGGCTGGAAATGGTTAGAAATACTCATGCTGTACCTCCCCTCTTCCCCAGGCAACAACCATGCTATGCCTGTGTTTTCAAAGAAGGTAGAATTCAAATGAGTAGATGAGGTTTCTTTGTGTTTAGTCATAATAAGTAAATTTCTTCCCTGTGTGATGCTGGTATGTAAACTAAGAAGTTACAGTTGCCTTAGTTTGACAGTTACACTGATTAAAGAATGGAGGCTTTATTCAGCTTATACTCTTACTGTATTACAGTTAACATCTCGTTCAATACGAAACCTGCCTGTGCAGCTCTAATGTCCCTGTTGACTCCACAGGAGTTACCCACAGGATGCCTGGCTGCATGGTGAAGCTGAAAGCAGGTTGAAATGGCAATGTTTCTGCTGTCATCAGGGGGACCAAGATTTTTGTCTTCCCAATATTTGGTAGCAAATCAAGGGACTGACTTTTTTAATACCTGAGGCTTCCAAAGACAAACCCAGCACTGGCTATGTAAACAAAATACACAAAAAATAAAACACGAGTGCTGTAATATACATGAAATTCTAGGTACTTGAAAATAGGGAAAATATGGGCCCTCTCTGGAAAGAAAACAGAGACCATGTTACCCGGGATATGGACAAGGCTGAGGTATTCAAAAACTGTTTTTGCCTCAATCTCCACCAGCAAGTGCTCCAGCCATACCACCCAAGTCACAGAAGGCAAAGGCAGGGACTGGGAGAATGAAGAATTCCCCACTGTAGGAGAAGATCAAGTTCAAGACCATCTAAGGAACCTGAAGGTGCACAAATCCATGCATCTGTGGGCCCTGAGACAGCTGTCATGTGAAGTGACTAAGCCAGCATCCATCATATTTGGGAAGTCCTGGCAGTCCAGTGAAGTTCCCACTGACTGGAAAAAAGGGAAACATAACTCTCATTTTTAAAAAGGGAAAAAAGGAGAACCTAGGGCACTATGAGCCAGTTGGTGCCTGCCAAGATCATGGAGCAGATCTTCCTGGAAACTATGCTAAGGCACATGAACAATAAGGGGGTGACTGGTGACAGCCAACATAGCTTCACAAGTGGCAAATTTTGCCTGACTGATTCAGTGGCCTTCTACAACAGGGTTACAGTGTTGGCGGATAAGGGAAGAGCGACTGATGTCATCTACCTGGACTTGTGCAAAGCGTTCAACACTGTCCCACATGACATCCTTGTCTCTAAATTGGAGAGACATCAATTTGATGGATGGACTACCCAGCGGATAAGCAATGAGATGGATGGTTGCACTCAAAGTATTGCAGTCAACAGTTTGATGTCTAAGTGGAGACCAGTGATGAGAGGCATTCTTCAGGGGTCAGTATTGGGATCAGTGCTGTTTAACATCTTTGTCACCAGCATGGACAGTGGGATTGAGTGCGCCCTCAGCAAGTTTGCCGATGACACCAAGCTGTGTGGTTCGGTTGATACACTGGAGGGAAGGAATGCCATCCAGAGGGACCTTGACATGCTTGAGAGATGGGCCAATGCCAACCTCATGAAGTTCAACAAAGCAAAGTGCAAGATCCTACACCGGAGTCAGGTCAATCCCCGGCACAGCTACAGGTTGGGGAGGGAAGAGATTCAGAACAGCCCTGCGGAGAAGGCCTTGGAGGCATTGGGTGATAAGAAGCTCAACATGAGCCAGCTTCAGTGTGCGCTCACAGCCCAGAAAGCCAACCGTATCCTGGGCTGCATCAAAAGAAGCGTGACCAGCAGGTTGAAGGAGGTGATCCTGCCCCTCTACTCTGCTCTCAAGACCGAACCCTGAAGTACTGCATGCAGCTCTGGGGCCCCCAACGTAAGAAGAATATGGAGCTATTGGAATAAATACAGAGGAGGGTCATGAAGATGATTAGAGGGATGGAGCACTTCTGAAGATGTATGAAGACAGGTTGAGAGAGTTGGGGCTGTTCAACCTGGAGAAGAGAAGGCTCCAGGGAGATCTTCAAGCAGCCTTCCAGTGCCTAAAGGCAGTCTACAAGAAAGCCAGAGAGGGACTTTTACAAGGGAATGTAGGGATAGGACAAGGGGTAATGGCCTTAAAGTGAAAGAGGGGAGACTTAGACTAGGTATTAGGAAGAAATTCTTTACTGTGAGGGTGCTGAGGCACTGGCACAGGCTGCCCAGAGAAGCTGTGGCTGCCCCATCCCTGTCAGTGTTCAAGGCCAGGTAGGATGGGACTTGGAGCAACCTGGTCTAGTGGAAGGTGTCCCTGCCTGTGGCACAGGGGCTGGAACTGGATGATCTCTAAGGTCCTTTCCAACACAAACCATTCTATGGTTCTATGATTCTATGAATTAGTGTTTAAATAAAGCTTGGAAGAAATCAGGAAGCTACAATTATTCCTGTGTCAGGTCCTGTAACTGGATTACATATCCTGCAAGAGCTTGTAAGAAGTACTGCCTCAAGTGCTCTTTTGTTATCTAATATTTTTAAAATTTCCAAGTGCCATTTTCCCTCTTGCAGATATTAAAAGGTTTCAGCAGTGGTTAAGTTTCCTGTTATACTGTAGGCAATGCACACTGATGTATAAAGCATTAATCAAAATCGCTGTTTTCAGCCAATTGTTTTACATGTGTTGATCAAAGTTTTGGCACTTCAAGACCTAAACCCATTAACTCACAAACATGACCCTACTTACAATTGAAAATATATAGATAACATGTGGTGAGTTTGAAAGCTGCTATTATATTCCAGAGAGGGCCAATTTAGGGAAACAAATACTTGATCTCTTCTGATAGGCAGCATGTAAATAAAGCAGCCAGTATGAAATTCACCATGAGCTCACTTAAAATGTTTAAAACTTTCAAAGCAAATGCTTGAGCTAAGTGGACGGTATCCCACTGGTGCTTCCTGTGAATGCTACAACCATGTGCATCAATTATGAAAAGATATGAAAAGTCACTGTAAACAGGACTCATTTATTAGTACTCTAAAACAGGTGAAAAAGACTGATTTGCATTTTTTTGATCAATTCACTAAGTATCCAATGACTGGATACTTAATTTTATGCCACTGGTAGGTTTCTAAAGTAATATTTACTTTTTTTCCTGTTCTGAATCTTCTTTCAAGAGCAAGCCCAGCTACAACCAGGATGTACCCTGTGATCAAGAAGTTCCTTAATGTCTTGTAGGAGTGCCTTGCTTATTCATTCAGAGGTAAATGAAATGCTAGATATAGGATCAGGAAGGAGATTTCTCCCTCTGAAATGAACAGCTATTACATGGATTGCCTCTTCTTGCAATGGATGAATGCTTGCATACAATGAAGGGACCAGAGAAGAGGAGAGCCACAAAGACAGATAAAGAAGTCAAGTTAAAAATTATTCTTCTGCCATTTAAGTTTTAAACAGGAAAGGTAAAATGAACATGGCTGTATGTAACAGGTAGGGGAGGCAGAGAACTGAGAGCACACGTTGGGCTTGGCAGATTACAGAAGTGGTGTGCTCCTCCCTCTGTTTCCACCTTCCTCTTCTCCTGACCTGGCTCTGTTATACAGGGAGACACAGCCAAGCCTCACCACAAGGTATTGGGATG